GCTAAGAAAACTAAAATTTTCATTTTTCATCTATATAATATTTCTCAAAAAAATGGTAGTAGATTGAAAATGTGTGTATGTATCCAAATCCAAGAAAAGTAGGAATTGAAAATGTTTACAATGAAACGTTGTAAATGATAATACCGAGTTTTGCCGGAAAAGAGGCTAAGGCGATCGGAAGGAGAAAACATGATGAGAGCAATGTCGATGTCACATAGAATCGACAATTCATAAGCTTTCTTAATCAAACCATTTCTACGTTTTGAGAACGTGACTTGTCGATTCGTTGTGTTCTCTATTCTCTTAATTTCCAATTTCACCCGACCCATATCGAGGTAGCAAGAAGAGATTTCGGTTCATCCAAATCGAATATTTTGATAGAATGCTGATCAGTAATCTCCAAAACTTCAAAAGAAGAAGAAAAAAAAAAATTTGGTTTAAAGCTGATATTGTTAATATACATTGAAGGTGGAAGAAAATGCGTATTATTAGGCGAATTAGGAGGAATTAAAAATAGAAATGTTTGACTAAGTTCTCTTCTCTTGCCTCGTTTCGCTGTAAATCCTTAAGCCTTTCGTCTTTACAAATTCTTAAGCTTTACTTCTTTCTTCCTCAAAATTGTTCTTTAGATTTTGCAACTTTTAAAGTATCTTATCACATTGTAACTTTAAGGTATCATATTTGAGTCAAGTTTAATGTATCTGAAAATATGACCAAATATTGAATTTTCTGATTAACACTTAAAAGACAAAAATTTAATGGGAAGATAAGTACAACAACAAAGGAGAAACAGAGTTGGATCATCACTGGTCACCCAGGAAGTGTCTTTCATTATTATGTCTGAATCACCTGCGAACACACATAAATGATCAATCATATGTAGTAACAGATCTTTAGATAGTTTCTTCAGAGCAGAGAGATTAGTGTGAAAACTGGTTTCAACAGAATGATTATCTCTCTGTGGTAAGCTGAAAAAATGTACTTTCTTCTTTATCTCACAATTCTTAGAGGATCGGATAAAACCACATGCTAGTTAGTACCACTGGGAATCTAAACGAAAAAGTTGTGAGTAGGAAGCATAGAAAGAATCAATGCTGAGCGTCGTCGAAAACCCATGGCTCGTGCAAGAAAAGCTCCCGGCCATTCATTTGAACACGGCCTGACGCTATATCCTCTTGCCGTTTCCTCGCTGCTTCAGCTTGTTTAGCCGATAATTCAGCGTCCTAACGAGAAAGCAGCAACAAACACAATTTGATAACCAGATGCTTTTAGGAACAAAGAAGAGAGAATGTTACTCTATATACTAACATTAACCAAAGTGTAAACAATCAATAGTGAAAGCCCCAAATAATATTTTGCCTAATTCCAAATCTTTTGATAATCAACGAGAGCTACGAAATTCTTAGTCAAATCTCTCTGTTTAAAAAGCTGCGTTCCTCTGGAAATACAAATCTAGGGTTCTTCGTTTCGACAATAAGAATCGATGACTTGCAAGGGAGAGAGACAGAGATACCTTTTGGCGCTTCCAAGCGAGGAATTGATCTTGTGAAATTGCGATCTGTGTAGCTTTCTCTTTGGTTTCTCCGTTTTCTGCTCCTCCCATCGTTCAACTTTCCGAATCAAATAAATAAACTCTCTCTTTTGATCTCTTTAACTTAATATGTTCAGCTGAAATATTGTTCCTTAAACGACACCGTCTTCACTGTCTCACTCTAAGTCTTGAAACGTCGTCGTATTGTGGGTGTTGTTAATTTTTTTTTTTTTTTTAAATCCTCTTCAACTCTTCTACCTCTAAGCCAAAGAGTCAAAGACATGCAAATCTTTTGGACAAGATATCAATCTGACCAGATCTATGGAGTTTGTGGTAAGCTAAGGACATACAAATTTTATGTCTAACCAAGCACTGCATGGTCCACGTTAAGCCGTGAGTACCATATGTAAAACTAACAACCCTTTTAAGCTAAGTAAGTGTGAAATACCTTTTGTTAAAATAAAATATTGATCAGCTTTATAAAATGGACAATTATGTGACATGTACGAGATCCAATGCTCATTTGATAGGAACGAATACGAAATTGAACAGAGGAGGTTTGATCTTTGTACCTACTATCTAAATCAATGGACTTTCTTCAAGATCCTAAAATTATCTAATTATACAGTTTCTTCTATATGTTGATGTTATTTTCCCATCTTGAAGA